TCTTTTGTGGTGAGAACATTTAAGATCTACTCTCTTAGCAATTTTCAAGTATAACATACATTAACTATAGTCAACATACTGTAAAGTAGATCTCTAGAACTTAATTATTCTGTCTAACTGAAACTTTGTACCCTTTGATTTAATATGTATATTAACCAAAAAAGGTACTACTTGAGAAAAAGTCATTGAAATCTTTGTAGTAGTACAGTCAATGACAGGGGGATACATTGTCATAAATGTGTTGTTAGGAAGTTTCGTTGTGTAAACATCATAGGGTACTTACACAAACCTAGATGGTATAGCCTACAGCACACCTAGGCTATGGGGTATAGCCTATTGCTCCTAGACTACAAACCTGTACAGCAGGTTACTATACTGAATACTGCAGGCAGTTGTAACACAGTGGTAAGGATTTGTATAGCTAAACATATCTAAATGTAGAAAAGGTACATAAAAATACGATATTAAAATCTTACGCAACCATCATCATATATACAGTCTGCCATCGACCAAAATGGCACTATGCAGTGCATGACAGTATATGTTAATGTGTTCTCAGCTCTTTTAATAGCCACTTACAAAGTCCATATGTTGACACTTGGGCCTGCCACCAGATGAAGTCACTCTAACACAGGTTCCTAGTTGGTTAATTGGGTCTGCTGATACAGCCTCAAACTTGCTTGCTAGATTTCGAAGCAGTCATCCTGAATTCCCACACAGGGGAACGTGTAACTGTCAAGAGGGGATGGTGCCATGCCACTCAGGGACTCAGCTGTCAGCATTTCTACCCTTAATCTCCATCATTGGCGGGCTTTGGAAGACAGCTTCTCCGCGGACCTCTGCCTCATAGTTGAATGACAGAAGACATAATCTGAATTCTTCTTTTTAAATGCAGAATATCTTCCTCACCCAAAATGGAAAAGTAAAATTGGGAGACTTTGGATCTGCCCATCTTCTCTCCAAGTAAGTATCTCTGCTCTATGGTAGTGACAGTAATCAAAGTGTCCATTTTCAGAATGCTCTGTAATCATTCTTTGCCTTTTTATGGTTTTAGTCCGATGGCATTTGCTTGTACCTATGTGGGAACACCGTATTATGTGCCTCCAGAAATTTGGGAAAACCTGCCTTATAACAATAAAAGGTAAGTGGTGTACTTATTTGGTGCATAGGCGACTGGCGACAGGCAGTGTAGCCTGCAAACAATGCTGGAGTCTGGTGCCACTTTGAATTAGATACATGGAGCATGTTGGTTTTTTAAATATATATTTGAAAGCAGTATGGAATCTATATTCCTAGGCTTCTAGATGAAAGTCATAGTTTTCCAACTGTTTTAATCAGAGCTGAGGGCAGCTAATTGTAAATGCTGAAAGAAAGGCTAGTCATTTCTAGGGACAATATGAATTATATCACTGGTTCCCAAACTTTGCTCCTCCTGCTTTTAAAAATCCCAGAGCCTAGGTGGCATCCAGACCAATTAAATCAGAATGTCAGTGAATGGGAAGCAAGCATCAGTAATTTCTCAAGATCACCAGGTGATTTCCAACATTTGGGAACTGATAGATTATGTCATTGAGTTAACATTTATATGGCTAGATCATAACCACTTGCTTGCTAGGTTAACTGAGTGCAGGAAGTTAGTATGAAGACCCTATGATTTAAAACATTTTTTCTGAATATAAGTTATATGTGCCCATTGTGTGGATGGGTGGATGGGGAGGATTGGAAATAGAGAGATGTGTAAGAAAAGAAATGGAAATCATCCACTTTTCACAACTACTAATAACATTTTGATGGGATGTTTTTCCCATCCATTCACTTTTCCCCCCTAAAACGGTTGATGTAGTCTGTATACTTTTGGTCTCCTGTTTTTTTCACTTTATCTTATATCATATTCATTTTCCCATATATTTAAACTCTTCTTAAATATTTGTAATGGCTGCCTTACCATGCGGCTCCTCCAAAATTTACTTAATCATTCCTCTGGTTTTGGCTGTGTATTTTCAGTTTTCAGTATCATAAACAGTGCTCTGATTAACATACCTTTTGTGCATAAATATGTCGTTGTTTTATATCACATTCTTGGCATGGATTCCTAGAAGTAGAATCTCATTACTTTCTGCTGACTTGTTTTTTGAAAATCTAAATAGATTGCTTTCAGAGTAGAATTGACTGAACTGGGGATAAAACAGTTCTAAAGGGACTTATTGGGCCAGTTGGGGAAATTTGAATATGGACTAAATATTAAATAATGTTATTAGGCTGGACATGGTGGCTCACTGTAATCCCAGCACTTTGGGAGGCCAAGGTGGGAGGATCGCTCGAAGCCAGGAGTTCGAGACCAAGTTGGGCAACATGGCAAGACCCTATTTCTACAAAAAATAAGAAAAATTAGCTGGGTGTGGTAGCATGCGCCTGTAGTCCTAGCTACTCTGAAGGCTAAGGCAGGAGGATTGCTTGAGCCCAGGAGTTCAGGGCTGTGGTATGCAATGATCATGCCTGTGAATAGGCAGTGCACTTCAGTCTAGGCAACATAGCAAGACTCCATCTCTAAAAAAAAAGAAAAGATGATGTCTGGAAGCCGACTGGTAGATGTTGAGAATGATGGAGGAAATAGAGTAGGGTATAGGGCCAATATAAAACTCTTCTGATTTTGAAGAGCTATTTTGTGGAAGAGTCAGTAGTCTTGTTCCCTTTGTTTGGGAACACAGAGATAACTCTGAGGGTAGAGAGAGTTCCCAGAGACATATTTTGCCTTTTTTTTTTTTTTAAGAGGCAGAGTCTTGCTCTGTCATCCAGGGTAGAGTATGCAGTAGTGCCATCATAGCTCACTGTAGCCTTAAACTCCTGGGCTCAAGTGGTCCTCCTGCCTCAGCCTTCTGAGTAGCTGGGACTACAAGCACGTACCACGAGGCCCAGATATTTTTAAAATTTTTTGTGGAGACGGGGTCTCACTGTTTTACCCAGGCTGGTCTTGAACTCCTGACCTTAAATGATCCTCCCACCTTGGCCTCCCAAAGCACTGGGGTTACAGGTGTGAGCCACCACACCCAGCCACATTTTGGCTTTTGATAAAGAAGAATGCTATCCCTTAGAACTGTCCGGCCAGGGAACAGACAGACTGTGACTGAGGAACAGAGCTGTCTGTTAGGAGATGCAATCAGAGGGTGCACAGGGCATTCCAAGTGGAAGCTGCACAGAATGTCTTCCACAGTCCTTCCAGCAATGATAATCTGAGTCTGCAAATATTCCCTCTTGCTGCTGAATTCCCAAATGCTACTGGAGTGATATCTGAACCACGCTCATTCAGAAGGGTGAGGGTTGGGAAGCAGAGAGTTTATTGTGAACATTACTCTTAGTAAGTGTCTAAGTATTAGACCAAAATTACTGTATGTTTTAATACCTAGGAATTACTTGTGATATCTATTCTTATTAAAGGTAGAATAATTTTTCATTTTTCTGTAGTAGAAAATCCATATATTTTCACATGTTAACTCATGATCCATTTGTTATTACATTGCTCCTTTGTGCTTCCAGTGACATCTGGTCCTTGGGATGCATTCTGTATGAACTCTGCACCCTTAGGCATCCGGTAAGTATGGCATGCAAAATGGAAAAGGCAGCTTGTCATATCTGGCTAAGTCCTAAGTAATGTGCCAAATTCCAGTTGGCAGTTTGCTTCTCTGGGGTGAAGTCATTATAAAAGTTTTCGTATGTTTCCACTGCCATCATCTTTGCCTTGAGCCGCTTTTGTAGCATATACTAATAGGAAATTTCCATTGTTTAGTTTCTGTTGTGCTATATATTGCCTGCCTGTCTGCCTTTCCTCCTTCCTTCCCTCTTTCCCTCCTTCCATCCTTTCTTTTCTTCCCTTCCCTCCTCCCTTCCTTCCTTCTTTTTGCTATTCTTAATTTTTTTATTATATTTTGATAAAATATATATATAACATAAAATTTTCCACTTTAATAATTTTTAAGTATACAATTCTATGGCATTAATTACATTCACAATATTGTGCAACCATCACTACTATTTGTTAAACTTCTCTATCACCCCAAACAGAAACTCTGTAACCATGAAATAATTACTCCCCATTGTACCCTCCCCACAGCCTCTGGTAACTGCTATACACATTCTTGTTTCTACCAGCAAGAATAAGTATTAAGGACTACAGTGCCCTGAATATTTGGCGCAAGATCTGTTGTCTTTCATCTGCTTGAAGGCAAAAGTCATTCTCAAACCTGTAGGAAATGCAGAAAGTCAGTATAATGGCTAAAAAGCCAGAGGCAAAGCAGATTCAATCTTATTTTTCATTGCCTGAATTTTTCCTTTGTTATTTGTTGGTTTTTCTTTTTTGATATCTTCACTTGCATTTTTTATTAGTAGGGCCATATATTTTCAAGGCAGAATGCCAACGCATTCTTACAAGGCTGAAGTCTAATATTAGTTCCAATATGTTTATTATACATTGAAAACTTTTAAAATGTTACTCCAGTCTGTCATCTGTTATCCCACTCAGTTACTTATGAAACTTTAATCTTGACTTTAATGACAAGAGTAGTGAAAAGGATCTGGTAGTAGACTGGACCAGTCTGAAATGTGTGTTGCTTTGCAGCACGCCTGGGGTTTCTGGGAAGGTGTGGAGCAGAGGAATATTATGCTAAATTTTTAGAGGCTGTTACCATTTGACTTTTTAAAAAGCCATATGTATGTATTACTTTGATTTTCAAAACATATTAAAAATATATATCTGTAAAACATAGATTATGACAAATAAAGTACCCAAAGCAGGAACTGAGGGAAAAACTTTCTCTAGAGGGGGCAGCTTTTTATTATTCATGTGTTGCCTTTCTCCTGAACCTCCGTAAAATTATAGCATAGTATTTTAAGGATCCCTCTAGAAAGAAAAATGACCAGGTATCTGACACATTTATAAAATTAAAGTAATTTATATGCGTTCAGTTCCGCTGGTAGTGTCTGATTTCCATCTTTTTTCCCTGTATCCACTTTTAAAGCTAAATTTTTTACTTTTCAGTTTCAGGCAAATAGTTGGAAAAATCTTATCCTGAAAATATGTCAAGGGTCCATCAGTCCACTGCCGTCGCATTACTCCTACGAGCTTCAATGTCTAGTCCAGCAGATGTTTAAACGGAACCCTTCACATCGCCCCTCAGCTACGACGCTCCTCTCTGGACGCAGCGTGGCTCAGCGTGTCCAGAAGTGCTTACCCCCTGAGGTGCGATAGGCATTGGGTTGGCTGTGAATGGTTTTCAGGTGTATGGTAAAATAGTGTGTTATCTTTCAAACACAGTTACATGGTACACATACTTGTGAAAATTCAAATGATGGGCTGGGCGTGGTGGGGACACCTGGCGTGCCAGCTACTCAGGAGGCTGAGGCAGGAGGATGGCTTAAGCCCAGGACTTTGCGGTTGCAGTGAGCTGTGA